TACTCCAATAGCTTCATGTCTCGCGCCTCTCGCCTGCAGAACTCCCTTCTCCTGTTTCCCTGTTAGCTATAATCTCCAACTATTCAAATGTAATGTCAATCGACGTCTCCAGATGCCTTGATCTATCCCCTATCCTTCTCTTCATCCTTTCCTCTATCGCTCCTATTTGCACTCGCTCTAAGTCTCTGCAACCACTTGTGTGCTAGTGGCTTCCCGCCTTCCTTGGGGTGAAACGCTTAAAAAAATTCCTCCCCTGTTGAGCTGTGCAGATGCCAGATCAGGGCCAATTACACTGCATATCCGTCTCTGGATTTTATCAAGAACCTTGAGACAAACAGAAGGGGTTCCAGACCGTATATGGCAGGTGTCTGTTTTCCATTATGCGAGTGATGATCAATTTGCGCGTTTGAAGTAATCCTTAACAGCGACATCTTTCGGTGTTTATTCGTCCAGGATATGATTATGGCGTGGGGTTGCATAAGTTGCAATTCATGTTCGTCTTTGGTTTATAGAGAGCAAAAGTTCAGTAGCTGTATGTACTTCCAAAATATTGTTAAAAAAAATTCCGCTGCTATTCTTGCACCAAGAAGGCGATGTGCCATTCCAGCGGGATAATGCTTGCCCACGTTACGCCTCTACCACTCATTATGCTCTTCAAGATGTACAAAACCCTACCCTAGGACATATGATCATCAGACCTGTTTCCCATTAAACATGAGACATGATGGGGCGATACTTGACGTGTTCAATTAGTACACTTAGCCATCATTAGTGTATTGTGTCAGCAAGTTCAAGAGGCACTGAATATATCCCAGGATGGTATTGGTCAACAGCCGTATCTTATTCATGCGTGAATACAGACCTGTGATTATACCCAATGAGGATATACAATATACATTAATATGGGGTCGGAATACACATGATAAACCCCTTGTTTTGCTATGTTTCCGTAAAATTTTTAGTACATTGAAACCTATATTAAGGGATCCGGAGAATAAATTTCTATAATATACATATATAAATATATATACATAACACACACACACACACACACACACACACACATATATATATATATATATATATATATGTATTCAAATGAGAGACAGAAAAGATGGAGAAAAATTCACAGTTCGTGGCATTTATTATTTAAAAAGTGTTCAGTACAAAACAGAGCAAAATATTATTATATTTTTATTATACTAAATTAGAATAAAAACATCTTATTTCGCTACACAAAAACTTTCATGTTTCATATATATATATATATATATATATATATATATATATATATTTGTACTTTACGTCAGTATATCTTTATATATATTTCGAAAAATCTACGATAAAGAGGAACGTTCTTTTAGTGTGCCGCGTTTCGCCATTTAAGACTTCAATCGGAATTAAAATGTTTGCGTTGATGTGATTACATAGCGTATGAAAAATGGGACGATGGAATTTCAAATTTAAATTAATTTTTAAAAACAATAGATGTCTATTATATTTGTATATATATATGTATATTATATTATATATATTACATATATATTATATATATATTATATATATAATATATATATATTATATACTATATATTCATATATTATATGCGTCTATATTCCAGCCGATTTCATTTAGCTTTCATTTTGCCTATTTTTTTTTTTACTTTCGTTATTAAATATCCCGCATTTACCGTTGAAGGAAAGTGGACGCAAATTTACTGTGGATGATCTAGCGATTAAAGAACTTTTTATACATTTTAATTTTAGTGAATTGGTTACGATAAGTAATTAATGCATTTAATGATTATTTTTGTAAAATATTCTTTTGTCTTCATATAATCTTTCTTGATACATAAAAAATTATATATCGTTTTCCTATATATATATAGATATATATATATACAGACACACACAGAGACACAGCCATATATTTCTGTGTTAAAAGAACCCAATAGCGTTTGTAATTTCGCTCTCACTCTCTCTCCCTCTCCCTCTCTCTCTATATATGTGTGTGTGTGTGTGCGTGTGTGTGCATCTGTCTGTGTGTGTATATATATATATTTATTTATTATGCAATGTTCTGCATAATAAATAAATATTTATTGCTCTACCTTCGTATTGAACCCTGTTTTAAAATTAATGTTTTGGACGCGGAACAGACACACACACACACACACACACATATATATATATATATATATATATATATATATATATATATATATATATGCGTGCTAAATAATAGTTTAGCATATTATTACTTTGTACGGGAAATGTATCACTGCTCCCACATTCTGAGGTTGACCATGGTGTCAGATACAATCCATAATACGAGAAGTCGATTTTGATTGGCTTAGCGATCATGTGAAAGTAGGTAGAGAAATGTTTTCCGGAAGCGAGTCTTAACCGTCAAGCGATGTAGACGTGTCCTCTTTCGTGCCTGAAACCGCTCCCCAGTGATGGTGGGAGGACCTCCCATTGGATAGTTAGTAAATGCCGACAGTATTAAAACAGTTTAAATTCATATTTTCTGTGTTGGAGTCATTCATTGTCGAACCGAAACGATTGGCGATCGCCGGTCAAGAGGAAAAACCGTGTTGCGATCATTTAATGCTGTCAACATGGAACATCGTTCTTTATGTGAGAGGCATCGTCCACAGTGAGTTCTTGCTACGGTGCCAGACGATCAATCGGCAAGTCTTAAAAGAGATCCTGTAGCGTTTGCTTCGCTCAGTGCACGAGAAGGGACAAGAGTTGTAACAGGAAAAGTCCTGTCTGGCCGAGAAGAACATCGCTGTAGTGGAAAAAGCTCCATATTCACCTGATCTTGCCCAGTGTGACGTTCTTCTTTCCCCAAGTTCAAGGAAATCAAGGAGACACTTTTTGAAGGTGTGGAGGACATCAAGAGGGCCGTAACGACGGAGGTTAGGGTCATCCAAGAAGTATTCTTCCAGCAGTGCATAGAAACGTGGAAGTGAAGCATGGAAATGTGAATTAGAGTCAAGGGTGGGGGGTCTTTGAAGGGGGAAACCATGAATCTTGTTGTTCAGACATTTCACGTATATATATATATATATATATATATATATATATATATATATATATATATATAATGCACGTTTGATTAAATCCCTAACGAACTTTGAGTATTTGCTGATTATTTTTTAGTTACTTTTTCACTAATAACGCTTTTGATTACCGGTTTGCCATGGTTAATTAAAGTTTCGTTAATTTGTTTTTTTTAATCAACCGTGTATAAATGATATATATATATATATATATATATATATATATATATATATTTAGGAAAAAGTTATACTTAAACAGCTCTTTCCTAAGAAATCCTAATATATGGAAAACACACACTACTGGATATATATATATATATATATATATATATATATATATATATATATATATATAAACGCGCACGCCCACACACACGCATACACACACACACACACACACACACATACACACACACACACACACACACATATATATATATATATATATATATATATATATATATGATCCAAAATATTACAAACAATAACCTTTTTGCTATAGCAGTTTCTATATATATATATATATATATATATATATATATATATATATATATATATATATATATATATGAAGATAACCTCTGACTAGTAGACGGAGTGATTCTCTGGAGTCGGGATGCTGAAGGCAACATGAACTAAGTGATAACCCTTTTACTTGTCTGTCTAAAAGTTTTTTCTGTGATTCCTATAATTGTTCCTCCCATAATATGTTTAATATTTAAAAAAAACACTGAACTAATTGAGTTTCTTTTTCCCAAGTTTTCCGACAAGACGTTTGGCCATCTTGACAGCATTTGTCGTTAGAATCATTCTAAAAATTCTTTGAATTATTCAGCTAGAAAGAAAACAGGTTAAAATCGTATTTTTGTCAGCCCCACTAGGTCTTCTCTACGGAGCAATGGTGTGAGGATAAAGATCATTCAGGCCTTCAGTATGGTACCAGTATTTATACTCTAGCTTCCATCTTCAAAGTCCATTCAAGAAACATCGAGAGAACGGTGAATAAGTTTTAAAAAGGGAACAGTAAAGTGGAAAATTGGATTAGGTGGTCACAACAGGAAGAGGCATCATCATTTCAACTTAGAGCTAAATACATTCTTATTGTTCAATGAAGAGCTTAACAGTGTTAACCTCGGAGAATTCCAGTAATATATCTTTGATCATTTCTATGATACAACGTTTCAAAGCTTAATCTAACAATTGGACAATTTTGCTATTACACGATTTGGACAGTTTTGCTGTTACACCCGGTATATAATGGCTGACCATCGTATCTGAGGATGTTCGGCTACTCGAGCGGCAAGTCAATCCCTATTGCAGAGACCTGCTCAGTCACCTTTGTTTTGTCTAACACCCACAGTGGTTTATACTTTAACTCTTCTCAGCGGACTTTAGTTTCAGATTCTACGAGGGAACCCGTCATCTAGCGTGTTCAGCGGTTTGAACAACGCCCGCACCCTAAATCTACCCCTCGGTCACGATTATTTGTGACAAGCTAACACACCTATCGACGGCTACCCAAAGAGTTCCGTCTACTCAGTTTAACGCATAAGGCTTGGTAGAACCCGAGGTATGGGTACGTTGCTGAGGGTTTAGAATGTTTTTGTTTTTTTTTGCCATGAGGCCCGGGTTCGAATCTCACCAAATGATTTCTTGATGTTATTGGAGACAATCCCAGCGTGCGCCATCTTCGGAAAGTGCCTGAAATCCACACGCACACACGCACTATCTGACATACACATACGTGATCACGCACTTTACAAACCCTGTTTTTTAATTCACTAACTTTCCCTGTATCTTTCTTTCTTCTTTCTTTCATTTTGTACTTCTATTTAAGAACTTTATCCCTTTCTAACCGCCTGACCCTGTACCCCACCTAGTTTCCACCGAATTTTAGAGCCTGCGCCCCCCTCTCATTCTTATCCCCTTACGCATGCTCATACACCAGTTCTTTCTACCCTTCTTTCCCCATTCCCTCTCCCCTTCTCCATTCCGTGTCTTTCTTTTTCCATTTCCATTCTTTTTTTTTCCACGCTATTTATTTCTTCTTCGTAATTTCATAGAGTTCAGTTCTTCTTCTTCTTCTTCTTCTTCTTCTTCTTCTTCTTCTTCTTCTTCTTCTTCTTCTTCTTCTTTCTTTTCGTTCCTCGTTCAACCGTTTTGCGAAAATTTTCTCACACACAATTCCTGCCCCAGTTCGTCTCTCTGTAAGGCCATACGTCATCATGTCGCCAAATTCGAAACACCTCGCCTTACCCGCTCCTTAAACACCCTGTTATATGCACTTCAAATATCTACCCGTCAAACCATCGCCAATCTGTACTTTAGTCTATCTCTCTTCTCTTCCTTCTCCCTTCATCATTCTTTCTTTTTCTCTTTCCTTTTCCTTTGTGCTTTGTTTTTCTTTCTTTCTTTCTTTCTTTCTTATTTTCTGCTTTCTTTGTCTTTCATTCTTTCTTTTTTCTTTCTGCTTTCTTTGATTATCTTTCTTTCTTGTGTTTTCTTTCTTTCTTTATGGTTTCTTTTTCTTTTTTTTCTTTCTTTTTTCTTTTTCACTTTCTTTCTGTTAATCTGTCTTTCTTTGTCGTTCTTTCTCTCTGCATTTTTTCTTACTTTTCTTTCTTTATTTCTTCAACATTTTAGTCACTTACCAACGACAATTTTTCTTTCTTTCTTTCTTTCTTTCTTTCTTTCTTTCTTTCTTTCTTTCTTTCTTTCTTTCTTATTTTCTGCCTTCTTTGTCTTTCATTTTTTCTTTTTTTCTTTCTGCTTTCTTTGACTATCTTTCTTTCTTGTGTTTTCTTTCTTTCTTTCTTTCTTTCTTATTTTCTGCCTTCTTTGTCTTTCATTTTTTCTTTTTTTCTTTCTGCTTTCTTTGACTATCTTTTTTCTTGTGTTTTATTTCTTTCTTTCTTTCTTTCTTTCTTTCTTTCTTTCTTTCTTTATGGTTTCTTTTTCTTTCTTTTTTCTTTTTCACTTTCTTTCTGTTAGTCTGTCTTTCTTTGTCCTTCTTTCTCTCTGCATTTCTTTCTTACTTTTTTCTTTCTTTATTTCTTCAACATTTTAGTCACTTACCAACGACAATTTTTCTTTCTTTCTTTCTTTCTTTCTTTCTTTCTTTCTTTCTTTCTTTCTTTTCAAATGCTCTCCCTATGTTTATTTTATGTAGGTACCTCCACGAGATCGCTAAAAAAGAGCATAGCATGATGAAAAAGACGCCAAACTTGAAGAAAACAAAATTTTATCGTCTAAATGTTTATGTTGTTATTAAGAGGAGAGATCAAAGTTTACTTTAATTATTTTTAAAATTTTTTCCTTCTTTTTAGAACAATCTGAATTTTCATTTAAAAATCCTTGTTTCTCTTTGTATCACTAGTAAAATAACATATACAATTTTTAGCACGTTTTTTTGTATGACACACATTAATTTGGAAAATCTTGCAAAAATAAAAATAACTAATTTTATGAAAACTTTAGTAATTCGGTCTAGTCCACTTTAATAATTACAATAGTAAAAACATAAGGCTTTGAGGAATGCAAATCATGTTTTTTTTGTTTTTAATTGGACCACCTACCTGAAAATCAGCTCTGAATTGTAACATACAAAACTCAATATAACAAATATATTTTTTAATTTCAAATGCTTTTATTTGCTTTTAGTTGTTTTTATGAATATGGACAATATTTTCTGTAAGCAAAAACTTTTTCGATGAAAAATGAATTTTTAATACAATTATTGGTTATTTTTTTAATTATAATAGATCTTTAATTTTAAGTTGTTAAAATATTATAAAATTAGTTAAAAGCCGCATCCATTTTCGTAACTGTCTTTATGAGATAAATCTTTTTTAGCGCGTTGTTAACTGTATCATTTTGACTAATCAGAAGACCCGCAGTAATTAAGAAATGTAATTTTGTATTTATAATCGGGCTCTAATTATAAAGTACGGAAGACCAACCAGAATACAATTAAGTTGCGTTATTTGAGTTAAGCATTGTTCTCCGCTGTTAAGGCCTTTACTTTTGCGAAAAAAAGTGTTGAGCAGTTAATTTGATTTTTCAATTTCAACTGAGAAGGGTACCTACAAGTATCAGTATCATCTTATGAAATTTATATGATTTTATTTTTATAATAATCTCAGTTATGGCATTTTTTCCATAAATGAAATATCAAAAATTAACAATGAAATGAATGGAAATACAAATAACACAGTAAAATGTAGTAAATGTATATAAAATTATAGTATTTTATGTAATATATTTTCCATAAAGCATCGTAAACGTAAAGGTGAAAGCTAAGTACAAAAAAGAAAAAATTAGAGCGCTGAAAGTTTTCCTTAAAAATAACGAGGTAAATAATGTGTTCCCTAAAATTTAAATAATTTCATTTTTCTCCTTCCATAGAACAAATTATCCTCACGGAATCCGTCAATATGTCATTCATCAACTGTCAAGTGACGCGAAAGTTTATGACCTGCTTGTTTTATTTTCAAATTACATCTTTTTGGCGCAGAAGCTCAGTTAAGCTTGGTTCAAAATATTTTAAATAAAAATTATAATTTCTGATTTTCTTAAAATAAGTTTTGAAAAAATGATAATTCATATTTACAAGAATTTCAAACTGAGATTTTTATTTTTTTTACAAATTGGAAAAAAATGGTTGTCAATTTTGTCAATTTTGCTGACTCAACAAAAAAAGAAAAAGATTTTAACGAAAATTTCGGACGTGCAAGAAACTATTAAAAATGTAAAAAAATACCCCCAAAATAATTTGATCTTTCCTCTTAATAATAACATAAACCTTTAGACGATAAAATTTTGTTTTCGTCAAGTTTGGCGTCTTTTTTTATCATGCTATGCTCTTTTTTTAGCGATCACGTGGAGGTACCTAATTTTATGCTTTCTTTCTTTAATCTTCATTATTTCTGTTTTTCCTTTCTTGTTGCCAATTTCTTTTTTCATTCGTTCTTTCTTTTCTCTCTCGACGATTCCTTCTCTCTTTTTAGTTATTGCCTCAGTATTTGTATATTCTCTCTCTCGTATTTTTCTTCTCTTTTTGTCTGCCTTTTCTTTTTTTTTGCTTTCTTTTCTTTTTCCTTTCTTTTGTTTTCCTTTCTTTTCTTTATCCTTTCTTTTCTTTTCTTTTCCTTTCTTTTCTTTTCCTTCCGTTTCTTTCTTTGCTTTTCCTTTCTTTTCTTTTTCCTTTCTTTTATTTACTTGATTTTCTTTTTCCTTTCATTTCTTTTCCTTTCTCTTTTTTCCTTTCTTTTTTTCCTTTCTTTTCTTATCTTTCTTTTCATTTCTTTTCTTTTCCTTTCTTTTATTTTTCCTTTCTTTTCATTTCCTTTTTCTTCTTATCTTTTCCTTTCATTTTTTTTACTTTCTCTTCTTTTCTTTCTTTTCTCTTTTCTTACTTTTCGTTTCCTTTCTTTTCTTTTACTTTCTCTTCATTTCTTTACCTTATTTTTCATTTCTTTTCGTTTCTCTTCTTTCCTTTTCCTTTCTTTTCTTTTCCTTTCTTACCTTTTCTTTTCTTTTTACTTTCTTTTCTTTTCGTTTCCCTTTTTTCCTTTCTTTTCTTTTCCTTTCTTTTCTTTTTCCTTTTTCTTCTTTTCCTTTCTCTTCTTGTTCCTTTTCTTTCTTTTCTTTTTCATTTCGTTTCTTTTCATTTCCTTTCTTTTATTTTCTTCCTTTTCTTTTGATTTCTTTTTCCTATTTTTTTTGCTTTCTTTCCTTTTCCTTTCTCTTCTTTTCCTTTTTTTCCTTTTCCTTTCTCTTCTTTTCCTTTCTCTTCTTTTCCTTTCTTTACTTTTTCCTTTCTTTTCCTTTTCGTTTCTTTTCTTTTTCCTTTCTCTTCTTTTCCTTTCTTTTCTTTTCCTTTCTTTTCTTTTTCCTTTCTTAACTTTTTCCTTTCTCTTCTTTTCCTTTCTCTTCTTTTCCTTTCTTTTCTTTTTCCTTTCTTTTCTTTTCCTTTCTCTTCTTTTCCTTTCTCTTCTTTTCTTTTCTTTTCCTTTTCGTTTCTTTTCTTTTTCCTTTCTCTTCTTTTCCTTTCTTTTCTTTTCCTTTCTTTTCTTTTTCCTTTCTTTTCTTTTTCCTTTCTCTTCTTTTCCTTTCTCTTCTTTTTCCTTTCTTTTCTTTTCCTTTCTCTTCTTTTCCTTTCTCTTCTTTTCTTTTCTTTTCGTTTCCTTTCTTTTCTTTCTTTTTCTTTTCATTTCTTTTCTTTTCCGTTCTTTTCTTTTCCTTTCTTTTTTTCCTTTCCTTTCTTTTCTTTCTCCTTTCATTTCCTTTTTCTTCTTTCTTTTCCTTTCTTCTCTTTTCTTTCTTCTTCCTTTCCTTTCCTTTCTTTTCATCTACTTTCTTTTCTTTTCCTTCTTCTTCTTTTCTTTTCCATTCTTTTCTTTTCCTTTCTCTTTTTTATTTCTTTTTTCTTTCTTTTCTTTTCCTTTCTCTTCATTTCTTTACCTTATTATTCGTTTCTTTTCCTTTTTCTTCTTTTCTTTTCCTTTATTTTCGTTTCCTTTGTCTTTTTTCTTTTCTTTTCGTTTGCTTTCTTTTCTTTTCCTTTTTTCTTATCTTTTCCTTTCTTCTCTTTTTCCTTTCCTTTGTTTTCTTTTTCCTTTCTTGTTCTTTCTTTTTTCCTTTCTCTTCTTTTATTTTCGTTTCCTTTCTTTTCTTTTCCTTTTACTTCTTTTCTTTTCCTTTCTTTTCTTTTCGTGTCTCTTCTTTTCTTTTCTTTTCGTTTGCTTTTTCTTTTTCTTCTTTTCTTTTCTTTTCCTTTCATTTCTTTTCCTTTCTTTTCTTTTTGCTTTATTTTTTTCCTTTCCTTTACCTTTCTTTTCCTTTCCTTTCTTTTTTTATTTCCTTTATTTTCTTTTTGCTTTCTTTTCCTTTCCTTTCTTTTTTTTCCTTTCTCTTCTTTTCGTTTCTTTTCTTTTTCTTTCTTTTGTTTTCTTTCTTTTTCATTTCATTTCTTTTGTTTTCTTTCTTTTTCTTTTCATTTATTTTCTTTTCCTTTCTTTTCTTTTCCTTTCTTTCTTTTCCTTTCTTTTCTTTTTCTTTTCTTTTATTTTCCATTCTTTCCTTTTCATTTCTTTTTTTTTACTTTCTTTTCTTTTCCTTTTTTATTTCCTTTTTTTCTTTTGCTTTCTTTTCTTTTCTTTTCTTGTATTTTCCCTTTCTTTTCTTTTCCTTCCATTTCTTTACCTTTCCTTTCTTTTCTTTTTTCTTTTCTTTCTTTTTCTTTTCATTTCTTTTCTTTTCCTTTCTTTTCTTTTCCTTTCTCTTCTTTTCTTTTCTTTTCGTTTGCTTTCTTTTCCTTTTTTCTTTTCATTTCTTTTCCTTTCTTTTCTTTTTCCTTTCTTTTCCTTTCTTTCTTTTCCTTTCTTTTCTTTATCCTTTCCTTTCTTTTCTATTTCCCTTCTTTTCCTTTCTTTTCTTTTCCTTCCTTTTCTTTTCCTTTCTCTTCTTTTCTTTTCGTTTCCTTTCTTTTCTTTTCCTTTTTCTTCTTTTCTTTTCCTTTCTTTTCTTTCTTTTTCTTTTCCTTTCTTTTCTTTTCTTTCTTTTCATTTCTTTTATTTTCCTTTCTTTTCGTTTCTTTTTCCTTTCTTTTCCTTTCTTTTCTTTTCCTTTCCTTTCTTTTCTTTTTTCTTTTCTATAATTTTCCATTCTTTTCTTTTCTGTTTCCTTTCTTTTCCTTTCTTTTTTTCATTTCTTTTCTTTTCTTTCTTTTTCTTTTTCTTTCTCTTCTTTTCTTTTCATTTCTTTTCTTTTCCTTTCTTTTCTTTTCTTTTCTTTTCCTTTCTTGTCTTTTCCCTTTCTTTTCTTTTCCTTTCTTTTCTTTTCCTTTTTTGTTTTATCCCTTTCTTTTCTTTTCCTTTCTTTTCTTTTTCCTTTTTTGTTTTATCCCTTTCTTTTCTTTTCCTTTCTTTTCTTTTTCCTTTTTTTTCTTTTCCTTTTTCTTTCTATTTCGTCGGTTCAGACATGCATCTTATATCTGTCCTGATTTTTTTTATTCGCTAATAACATTTGTATGGCACAAGATCATTGTAGTGGAAATCAAGTGAAGAATGAACTCACTACACAAGCGAGACGAACTTATTAATTAATTCTTTTTTATATACCCTGCATAATTTATTCTTTATATAGCCCGTATGCAGTAAGTTTTTCCGTTGATTATGAAATAAATAAAAACAACTCAGTGTTTACCGAATATAAGAAGTACTGGAACTGGAGTAGCGGAAGATGCTTTGCAAAATCTAAGCAACATATAAAGAAGCAGGAATTCTTGATAGAAACAAAGAAAATATGGCTGGTGCTATGTAATATCAGTCCTCCTATATAACAGTGAATGTTGGGCAATTTCCTCACAGACGAAGACTAAAATTAAGACAACAGAAATGTGGTTATACAGAAGGATGCTGAGAATGCCGTAGACGGAGCATGTTAGTAACGAGGACGTTTTTAAGGAAAATGGAAGCAAAATGGGCACTTAGAAAGAGACAAGTGAAATTTCTAGTGTCCATAAAGAGGAAAGAGGGCTTTGAGAATCTGGCACTCACAAGAAGTACTGAAACCAATAGGGACAGGAGAAAACAACGAATAACCTACCTAACGAACTTGTGTAAATGTTCGGCGGAACAGGGATCTTTCTAAGAGCTATAAATGACAGGAAGTAGTGGAGAGCCATGATTGCCTAAAGGGATATGGCAAACAAAGAAGAAACAGCTTGTATAAATGGTTACCAAAACAGGGATTAGGAGCAAAAAAAACAAATCCTTCTAATCTATCTAACGATGTTGTGTAAATAGTATGGCAGAAAAGTGTTTAGAAGAGAATGCAAAGGGGCAAAGGACAGGAAGCTGTGGAGAACCGCGATCTCCCCGTGCCGAACGGACGCGGCACATAAAGGAAGACTGTTTAGAGTATTAATCTGGAGTGACACGAAAGAAAAAAAAAAAAAAAGAGTGATTATTTCTGATCTGAGTGTCTATTTTACGACTTCGTCGTCCCTTTTAATTTTTTTACCTAATTTTTAGAAGGTCGATAAACTGTAAAAAATCAAATCAGAAGAAAACAGCGAATTACTTCCTTAACGAGTTTCTGTACAAAAATGAATTTACAAAAAAAAAAAAAAATAAAAATTAGACCCTCCCTTACTAACGTATTTAATAGATAAAAAGTGTAAAGATACTGAGAGCTATAAAGGATGGGAAATCGCGGAGAGCCATGATCATCTAAAGGGGCATTGCACAGAGAAAAAGAAGGGGAGGGAGATTAGGAGAGATAGCAAAAAGCCCCACCCTACTAAGATCTACACTAAGACAGGAAGATGTGGAGATCCGTGATCATCCCCGTTCTGAAGGGGCGCAGCACGTGAATGAAAACTGTTTAGACTTCTTAATCTGTAGTGATACGTAAGAAAAAAAATTGACAACTGTGATTATTTTTGATTTGAGTGTCTATTTTAAGACTTCACCACCACTTTTAACTTTTTTTTACCTAATTTTTAGAAGGTCGATAAGTCGTAAAAAATAAAATCAATCTCCATTTTTAGAAAAGTTAATGATTTTTTTTGAAGAATAAAAATAAGAAAACAACGAATAACCTGCCTTACCAGCTTCTGTAAAAAAAAAAAAATCTATTTACAGAAAAAACTAGACCCCCCCACTATTATGTAATAGATAATGACTTTTTAAAAAAAATATACATCGCTAGAAACGAAAAAAATGGTTATGAACTGTTATGTAATATCGGTTCTCTTATGAGGCGGTGAATTCTAGACAATCTTCGCACAGATGAAGAAGAAAATTGCGGCAAAAGAGGAATGTTTTTACAGATGGATTCCGGAAATCCATGAACGGAACTAGTGAATAATTAAGAAAAATGAAAAAAAAAAGCACACCTGTACTTCGAATCAGAAAGTGACAGTTAAAATTTCATAATAAGGAAAGAAGGCTCGGAGAATCTGATAAACTTACGACACATTGACTGTCAAAAGGACAGTTGGAAACAATGAGTAATCTGCCCAACCCGCGTATATAATTAGATGGCAGAGCAGGGGACTGGGAGAGAAAGCAACAAGACAATCAGTATTCAGAGTTTCAATGGAGAACCTTGATAGCTGACGTTTTGAAGAAAAGCGACCATTGAAGTAAAAGATATACCAAACTGAACAGCATTTACATAGCAACATTTGGAATAAGATTTTGGTGATGCCTATTTCTATATTTCTTTGTCCATTTGAAAACTATACGTAGGTTTTGAAAGAAAACGCTCAAAATCATATTTCTCATATAACTACGAAATCAAAAGGAAATTATGTCGGAGAAACAAGCACGAAATTCAGTTAGTAACCTTAAAACCCATCAATTATCAGCAATATGACTGTCGCTGCACACTTAAACCAACCTTTCCGTAGCATTGATGATATCAGATGCGTGCTTTTAGCGTTTTCATTTAAGAGCCGACAAGAAAGACGCTGATCGGAGTTGAAATATATTTTCAAAATAGAACCATATATTAAAAGATAAAACAGGTATTTGTGTTTACTCAGAGAATATAGTTTCAACAGGGAGCACTCTACAAACACTACACAACCCTAATCCTGACAACACCAAAATCAAATTTCTTATAGAAATACAACACATGAGGAAAAACAAAACAAAAAAATCCCAAAACGACAACATTTCCCGTAAGAGTGATTCCCACTTCTTTGTTTATTTCTCGTCTCGTTGAAAAAGGACACAGGCATGTCCGAAAATTCCGACTTTAAAATCTTTCTCTTCGTCCTTCAGTTGAGACAAAAAGCTATTAATATATGACAAATATCATCAATCTTATTGTCAATATTGTTATTTTGTTGGCTTTTTTATTCCTCAAATTTCATTAAACGGCCTATTAAAACTACATTTAATATATATATATATATATATATATATATATATATATATATATATATATATCTGAATGCAATGAAAAACGAAAATAATATAAATTCTAACGTTCACAGCATTAATTCAAAAAAGGGCTCGGTAGCAAGAGTAGAGCAATAATTATTTATTATAATTTTTACATACGGACAAAAACATCTTGCTCACTACAAAGATGCATTCTTGTTTCGATGCTACTGCATCTCAGCTGGTGAGAATCAAAAATGGTTATCAATAAAATGTAACTTTTTTTGATTCTCACCAGTCGAGATGCAGTTGCATCGAAACAAGAATGCATCTTTGTAGTGAGCAACTTGTTTTTGTTCGTATGTAAAGATTTTAAAATATATATATATAATTTTTCTGTGAAAATCTGACTTCGGATGACATTCTTTGAAGAAAACCAAACTCTAAATCAATCATGGTCAAACTGCGTTCCGCGTGCCATATGCGACCCATTTGGCTTTCAGGACATTGTTTCGTTTTCTTCTCACTCATTCCATCGCACTGTTTTTCAATCAAAAAGGTTTAGGGAAGTTGGATACATAGTGGAATAACTATTAAATACTCGACTAATCTCCCTTAATTATTAATTAATCACCGTGGGTTTACTTCGAGTAAACAGTATGCAAATCAATGATTTTAAATATGTTTCTTTAATTTTCTAAACTTTCTTTGAAGGTAAGATTTTCAGCATTTTAAAAATTGTCTATTTGGACTAAGGAAGATCATACGTGTCAGCATCTTTTACTTAGAAACGAGAAACATTCATCTTAATTATTTTTCTCTAAAGAAGAAATATATTTTTTCTTTTAATTTTTCTTTTCTATCATTATTCGTTCATTTATTTATTTTATTTTGCTCCGGCTTGTGGCCACCATTCCCCTCCGTCTCACTAATGTGATTCATGATGATATTTAGGGCAGAATAGTGCAGTGGCTTACCGGTTCCTTTTGCACCGGAGATGTTACTCGCTCACTAGTAAAGCGGTTGACCTCTGAAGCGCAGCTCCTGTGCATGAGCTAGTGACAGGCCGATGGCCGCATGGCACAGGTGAGTACGAGAAAGACTTCTTGGAGCCATGTGTGTGAGTTGGATGTAAGCCGTTGACCAGTACAATTCCGCATCCCAGTGCACCTGAGGGTCGACCGCTTCGCAGCAAAGGCATTACCACTGACGATATACCCGTATCTTTTTAGTTAAATAAATGAATTAAGAGCAAATCACACGCAGTAGGATATGTTAAGGCCACTGTCATGATAAGTTATTTACACACCTCATTGTGGCAAGATATGAGATAAGGTGAGTTTATTGAGGGGTGCCGTGCATATCAGCCAAAAAAAAAAAAAAAATTGCCCAGTCCCTACGACTACTATCACGTTGGCTAACCCTCCCAATTTAGTCCCATTAGGAAGCTGCCGCCGCCGGGTGAGAATCCTCGCAAGCAGGTTTTTCTGTCGGCTTGAGATGGGAACAGATATTAAGCCTTGATCCTAACTCGAAGACCGGGTTAAGGCGGTAATTTTGTGACATGAGGTCGGTGTCATAATGGAGTGCCCATACACGCACATATAGGGGAAGGAGACAAATTGCCCAGTCTTCCTGGCCGCTGCCACCCTAGCGTCAGTAAACATCAACACACGCTGTTTAGTGCAATGAGGGTGAGGCTGCCGTTAGGTTAGAAACCCCGGAAGCAGGCTTCCTCTTAGGACAGACAGTAGGGTTATTAACTCGCTTACCCACGGTGGCGAGATGCGATACAAAGTCGTTTTTAATGTGGGTACGCCCTCACGGCCCACGGACAAAAATTGACAGCCCTGTCCCGTTGGGGTCGGTATCTTGCAGACGGTATGTCACTCATGGTCTCATCAAACAAATGTCGCAAGAGTTGACATTAGATCAGAGACATGAGGTAATGAGTAAATATAGTCGTACATACACACGTTGATTCCCACAAGTTCGGCAAGTATATGTAATTCATTTTTAGTCGTAACGGTAATTTAACCCTGGACAAAAAATGCAAAGACAAACAAAAAAACACATA